ATTATTATTATTATTATTATTATTATTATTATTATTATTATTATTATTATTATTATTATTATTATTATTATTATTAATTTGTTGTTTTACTGAATTTTTTATTTATTAATTATTAAAAATAATATTAAATAAAATTTTTATAGTTTTACCCTCTAAAACATTTAATATTATAACTCTTTCTGATGCCCCCTTTGAAAGGTCAATAAGTTTAGTAAAGAAAAATGTGAAAGGTACTGATGACGCTAGCCTTGAGGGATTAGAAAGTTCTGTAAAGGCTCTTGGAGGTCGCTTTTCATATTTAAGTCTTTTCATTGATAAAATTCGTGGAGGTAAAAAACCATCAGGTAAAATATTTTATTATTATAATAATTATAATAATAATATTGATATTATTTAATCTTTATAATTAATATTTATTTATTTATTTATTTAATCATTTAATTATTGTATATAAAGAGGCATTAAATGAACTTGTCACCAGAGCAAAATTTGAAATTTTGAAACTTGCATTTGGAGATAATACTGAAGATGCAAAATCAATTCCATGGAGTGATATCCAATTTTGGGCAATTATGAAGAGATTGGCTAATAATGGAATTGTATGTATTGTTGAATTTTTTTTTTTTTTTTTTTTGTATTTAACACTTAACCATTTTTCTTATCATCAAAATTTTTTCTTTTATCATTTTAGTTGTCATATGAAGAAATTAAATCGTCACCATTCTTCAAAGATGATGATACACCTATTAGAGAAATGGAAGATTCCGATTTAATTCTAATTGTACAATCCGATGACAAAATAACTAATATAATTAAACCAGGAAATCAACTTTATCGAGTAGCCTTTCAACAAATTTGTTCCGTTGAATTATTTAAAGCAAACATGGAATTGAAAACTTATAAATATCTTTATAATTTCGTGTTTGAAAAAATAAAAAGATATGAAGAAGAACTTCAATTATTAGGAAAATCATTAATAAGACAAGATGGTAAATGGTTATGGGTATTGGGAAATGATAATCAAGTTCCAATTACAATTAAAGAAAGAGTGGACTTTTTATTGGGTAGAATTCATAAATGTCATATCAAGGCTGCAAAATATCAAGAAGAAATTGATAAATGGTCAAAAGTTATTGAAATTAATGGTAAAAACGTTGAAAAAAAGGAACAATTAACATAAAATATTTCAATTATATGTTATACATTTGTACATAATTTATATATATACAATATAAAGTTTCATTTTTATATTTTTCTAATTCTATTATGAAAATAGATTAAATTCATATATTTATTATATTATTAGGTCCAAAAATTATAATGTTATTATATATGTCAATAATTAAAATTAATTTTAATTTTAAAAATTTAATTTTTTTTTAAATAATTATTATAAATACTTAATATATATATATATATATATATACACACATTATATAATAAATAAATAAAAATCAAAGTTTTTCTTGACGTGGTAGATCTATAAAAAATATTATTATTTAGATTAATATAATTTCAAAGTTACACATCAAAAGTTACAAAATAATATTAATTTTTTTTTTACAATTACCAGTTCCCATAGTACCCAATTTCTGTAACGATGTAAAATGTCCATTCGTTGACTTGTTTTTATTATTATTATTACCTTTAATGCTTCCGTTAACATTATTATTTGGTCTTATGAGTCCAGTAGTTCTTGTTACGGGAGTTGTTGAAGTTGTTGCTTCGTTACCATCACCTCGTCTTTCCATTAATAAATAATGCATTTGCATTCTTAATCCATGACATAAATTTTTTACGCTTTGAAGTTCTTCCTGAATTCTTGAACTTTCTGTCATTAATGCTACATTCTGTCTTAATTCTAAATCTGCTAAATTAACATTTAATGTTTCAACTTCATTCTTTAAATGATCATTATCTGATAATAAAAGTTCATGTGTGGTTAAAATAGATGGGGAAATAGATGAAATAGATAATGGAGGTGGTGGTAGAACTCTTCTATCCCCTGAACTTGTATTTTCAACAATGATATCTTTGTTAGAGTTTAATAGATTTGAATGGTTTGAATAGTTCAAATAGTACGATGAAAGTGAAGGAATTACTGAAGAAGATGATACACAATCTGATATCTCTGTTATTTGATCTTGTAGTGATTGAACTTTATTTTGAAGTTCTTGAACTGACGATTTGAGTTGTTGATTTTCATGTTCTAAAGATTCCATTCGTTGTTTGTATTTGACAAAGAAATTTTTTAATGATCCATATGAACATAAATTTATATGTTCATTTTTCAATTCATGTTGATTTCCCACCCATGAACATCCAAATTCTGCATATAAACATGTTACTATCTTATTTGGGCATTCTTCAATATGTAAAAAAATTAATGATGATGAATATTTTTTATTACAATATGAACATTCTTCTACTTTATCATCTTCTACTTCATTACAAATTGTCTTCTTGCAATTCTCCATATGTTTCATCAAATCTTTTTTCATCACAATTTCTGTACATTCTTCATTTAAACATTCAAGTGAGATAAACTTGCATTCTTCTTTCAAATGTAAGTTTATTAATTGACGTTGTCCCTTATAAGTACAACCTAAATCTTTATTAAGGCAATATACCAACAACTCATTAACCATATTAGAAATAATTTTTGAGGCAGACTTGAGTTCGGAAGAAGCATCTGAAAGAATAGAACGATCAACCGGGCAAGTTGGTTTTGTTGATAAAACTTGACTAATACAAGACCTACAGAATGTGTGACTTTGTTTTTTGAAAAATTAAGATAAAATATTTATATAAAAAAAAAAAATAGATATATTTAATATGATAATAATTACTTGTAGAAGATTTTTCAAATCGTGAATCTATAAGAAGAAACAAAACTTGCAGACTGATTATATTCACCCGCAAGTTTCTACAACAACCGGCTCAATAAAGGGAGTTTGGCAAATGCAACATATGAGATTGGAATTTACATTTTCAACATAAAGAACAGAACGCAAATCTAACGTTGAGGTTTCCATTATTATTTATTATTTACTGAAATCAAAAATGTTTTTTAAAATAGTAAGTCTCAAGTGATGTGATATGGCACGTTACATGCACGCATCGTACGATTTTTTTTTTTAAAAAAAAAATTTTATTTTCTGGAAATTTACAAGTGCTAAATTATTTATTTACAGATTAATTCTGAGGGATACATGAATGAAAAGAAACGAAAAAAAAAAACTAATAAAATAAATTTGTTACAATTTTTCAAATAATTAATTCCTAACCTGAGGAAATATTATAAATAAAAAATATATATGTAACAGAAAAATATAAAATTTCACTAATTTGTAATTTCACGACACAAATATTAATAAAATTTTTGATTCATCACAAATTCGTTATTCATTAGATCATTAATAGTAATGCCTACGATGTAATTAAAGATTACATGATAGAGCAGTAGTTGGTTGGATCACCACCTGAGGGTTTCTCGGTTGCTCCAAGAATAATAGGTCTTGAGGATTGCATTATAGAGCAATAATTGGTTGGATCTCCTCCGGAAGGTTTTTCAGTAGCGTTGGTAGTAGTGGTAGAAGAAGTGGCAACGATTTTTGGATTCATTTTTAATTG